ATCAATGAAACATTTCTTTTTCATTTCTCATTTCTTTAAATATGAATTCTGAAGTTCTATTAAATCTGTATTGTAGCAGTAGGTTCTATTCGTATATCTGGAGTATTATATTTTTAAGAGAAGTAGGATCATGTCTTTGAGAGAACGTTGGAATACCTTGTTGACAACCAAAATATTTTTGGTGGTGCCATGATTCTAATATCAAGTGATTTTGTCAGACTCAATCAGTTATTCCCCGATGTGTCAGTATGTAAAGACACTCCAATTAACAACGAAAATGCGAGTATTTTTGCAACAAGATGAAACTGCAAATGTGTTTGCGAAGCAGTTGTTAGACACTGGAAATAATAATGTTGTAGTGGACACCTCGACCGGATTCATCATATTACCACATCGCAAACTCAAAGTAGGAGTTTATTCAGCATGTTTTCCCAGATATTACATAAAAGTTCAACAAATATAATTGGTTGGGTGAACGAGCAGTAAAGATCAGTCGACACCGTTATGAACCAGGATGGCGTAGTCAACTATCCCACGAAGTTTTTAAATTCACTGGAATTGTCTGGATTACCACCTCACAATTTGGAGTTAAAAGTAGGATCATTTGTCATCATGCTGCGTAACATTAATCAACCACCACTGTGCAATGGAACAACACTGGCTGTGAAAAAACTGATGAATAACATCATTGAGGCAACAATCATGACACAAAATACAAAGGAGAGGATTTTTTATTTATTTATTTATTTATTTGTTTATTTATGCTCCACAAAACAAAACAGATACTGTAGTTTACGAGAAATCCTTAAATTGATTAACAGACTGTATCGTAATAGTCCATGTCGGTCAATATCAAATAAATGCCGAGCGTTTCAGGAAAACTCTGTTAGTAAGCAAGCATAATGTGTCATTCAAAAAAGTTTTTTTATTATTTTTTCAAAGAAATTCAAAGAAACTTCCACATGCTCCTGTAATACTTTTTACAAAACTTCTGGATTCCTCCTGCTGCGTTCGACTCAGCAAAAACCGACGCAGGAAGAATCCAGAAGTTTTGTAAAAAGTGTTTTCTTATTAAATACGGATTCGTTTTGTTTGTTTTAAGATTATATTATACAAAAGTTGAGGCTGCCGGGTCAGCTAGTGTTATATGTAAATTAACTATTATTATTATTTATTTCTATTTATTGAAAGCACCATTAGTCAAGTTTGATTTGTAGGAATCTTAAGAACGAAATAAAAAGAAGAATTCTATAAAAAAATCATTAAATTGCTTGGCGGTTCTATGATCTACGGAACTTCAAAAAATCTTTTGATATTGGCAAAACATTTTTTGATTTTGATGTTTTCGTTTTTTCAGAAAAGAAGGAACTACCAAAATTTGTGTTTTTTTTTAGAACAAAATTTTAACAAGCTTGACCATAATTAACTTATTCGTGTTTAGTGCAATAATTATTAAGTTCCAATCTTAGGAATATTGTATTACGAAAAAGGTAACAAAGTAAACTAATTTAAGATTGTTGTATTGCTGAATATGTATGTTATACCAAGTGTCATGAGTTTTTTATTTAATCACTAATCAATTAATGGACACTAACTCATTTTATTAATTATTGGTGTAATTAAGTGGTCAAATTTGGAGAACAATTTAAAAAATGAAAACATCTTGTATTCAAAAATTACTGATCCAATAACTTTATCAACTCAACGCCCTTTTAATTTTACCGATTGTGTTCCGCGGATATTTTCAATGGTCAGTGCTTATTTTTCCTGGTCCAGTTTTCCTGAAAATATTGAATCAGTTCTTGACAATATTTGTAGGGCTCTGTCAAGTTTAAATATGTGAAGTTGTTAATCTTTTATACTTTCGCAGCACACATTTGTTTTTTTTTGTACTTTCAGAAGATAAGAGAGGGGAATTCATACAACTTTTTATTTGTTATTGTTATTACTTTTGACTCCCTGTAAATTCATGGAAGAAATCCGTAACGCTTCACTCTTGCACCATTATTGTAATTCTCGTTAAGCAGTTTCTTCATTTCGCATTCATTCATAAAGTAATAACGAGTTTTACATGTAATTTGAATAATTCTGAGAGGAAACACTAAACACATATTAACTACATCTTTCATCATTCGGTGTGTCATCGACGTAGAAATGCGCATTTCAAATAGTTGAAGCACATCGAATTTTATCAATATCAATCAATAATCAATTTAAGGCTAAAAAAATTCGATTTTGCAAAAAAAAATCATTTTCCGGGTTGTTGTCCTGTTACCTCGAATTTATTTATTATTTATGTATTTTTTTTCTTTTACTTTTCTTACAAGCCTTCGAATTACCCCTATCTGATAATTTTATGTTTTGACATGCTCAGCTGTATTTAGTAATATCACTTAATTTCCAGTAAATTACATTTAATCACTAGCCACTAATCAATTAATTTTATTTATTATTGGTGTAATTAAGTGGTCAAATTTGGAGAACCATTTAAAAAATGAAAACATCTTGTTTGACAGTAGTGATTAATAAATACCAGATCGCCATTAAAACAAATTTTATTTTCATCTTAACATCATCCAGTTATTTGATGCCTGTCATAGTCTCCTGTTTGCATGACGTTTCAATTAGTTCAAATTTGTCAAATATTTATTGCACTAAAATTGTCTCATTTCAATTCATAGTAATCCAGTGTGTTCTTCTACGGAATGAAGAAAAATGCGTATTTCAATACAAATTCCACTAGTTTACTAACATTAATTATTAATGGAAGAATAAGTGATGACAATAAATGTTTGCAAAACGTAGGAATATCACCAATTATTTATAGTTATTACTATCGTTTAAATTGGGACATACAGGATAATACAAAATTAAACTTTTTTTAACATTAAAATTTTCACTGGACTGTTGGACCCTTATTCGACTATCTAAGAACTTTAATTATGTACAAAAACTCAAGAAAATACTCATAACCCCCCCACCCCTTTACAGAGCAAAGATAGAGTAAAAAACATTAAGCCGTGTGAACAACATTAGAATTTTAAAATTCAAGATAACAATTACGCCCTCTGGTGGCTATTTCAGAGTCCCACCGTACAACATACACTACAGTTTTCTACGTTTTCCATTCACGTCAGGTTTAGCGTCAAGTTTTCCTCTACATCAAAATCATTTATTTGCGAAAGCACTATACCAATGTATTTTTAGTGTCTTACTCTAAAGAATATCTTAGGGGACCGTAACAGGTAACCGATTTATGACGAGGTTTTACCACCGAACGTATCAATTTAAATTTAACTGGGCATAAGAAATCAACGAACATGCGTAAAACGGACTATTAATGTACCACGCGGGTACAACACACCGAATGAAATTATATAGTCTCGCCAACAGGTAGGCAGAAATTACAACGTCTCTCCTTATGCCCGCTAAATATCAAGTGCCAAGGCGTTACAAGCAACAGGAACAAAAATAATTTAAGAACAACGCGCTCGTACATCAAGATACCTGTCCGAGGATTCTGTTCCGCCGTTACAAAGACGGTTTAACTCGGGCGACGGTTTCTATTTTTGCTAATTGCCGCAGGCGGCTGCGTCCCGCTATGAAAAATGGCCCCTCGTGAATATACGCGGCTGAAAGACCGAATCTGTTCGGTATTCACGTGACCTGTCACTAACCGCGTGCCTTTGATGTGGCGGAAGGAGAAAAATCGATTCGTTTCAATCTTGGTCAAAGGATTAGCCGGTAATTTTCGAATAAGGGTGACGCGCGGCTGATTAGAAACGGCGGCAAAATAAGCGAGGTTAAGTTCCATGCCTTGTGTCATCTGCATACAGTACAAATAATGCGTCTGTACTATCCTGAGGAAGATCGTTAATAAAACAATTAAAGAGGAGCGGTGACAGGCGGGGTACAAGCATACATACAAATGGACAGAGGGATAAAAAAGTTTCAGAGACTAAAACCGAATGGCAGTAGGAATATGACTCGTTGAATCTACACAAGAAAGTCTTGGAAACCGTTGGATTACACAGATGTTCCGGTTGTATTTGATTTTTATTTCACGTTTAATAATTTCCTATTTATTGCATTTCGTGTTTGCAATTTTTAGTTATCAGCAGGCAAAGTAAAACAAAGGGATCAGGTTGGTTATTGTTGTGGTGGTTAACTAAGTGTTGATAATATTCTGTCAAGAAGGCGCTGTTAGAAATCCTAAAATTTCCCCTGTGAAATTTGGATATTTTGCTGATTATTTTTAGCAATCGACGTTTTAGTCGGATTTTACTCGACATAACCTCAAAAAAGGCAAACGACATCGTAGGTAAATTTTCTACAATTATAAAATTCCCTACTCTTGCTGTTAGCGAAAATCGGTTCAATAGCCTGGAGTTTGGACCAAAGGGTAAGATTGTGAAATTATAGTTATGATTCAGTAGTTAATTTATTTATGATAACTACAATAATAAATATATCAATTAGGCCAGACTGACTTCTAGAGTGTTTTCATTATCAACTTGGTTAAAACTCTTGAAATTCAAGAATTTGAGCCCGCACGTAGCAGACCTAAAACGTCCGGAATGCATCATTGTCTAAAGTAACAAAATCACTGTGTCTAAAAAAAGAAATTCTAGAAAGTTCGAAGATTACACAAGAGGATCTACAACAGAATTAGGCGAGATGTGGGGGTGATTTCCTGGGGTGAAAGAATCATTAATGGAGGAATGCGAAGTTCTAAACGTCTGCTACAGCTCATCATGCACTTGGGTTCACAACCTACTATACATTTCCGAGCAACAGTTAATGAAATTAGAACAACCGACAGTCCAAACGAAGCTCATTTAGAAGAAGAAGTTTTTCAAATAACCTTTTAAATGATTTGCATTGTTTTTCTAATTTCCAAGTTGTTTTGGTTTTGTAAAATACATCTCTTTGGTAAATAAACAAATACTTTTGATTGGACTCGTTCGGTTTCGTCGCCCGTTATCAAAGTGAAAATTTACCTGCAAAACTCTCTTGGGCAGACCAGTCTTCTGCGATAGTTGCTTCAAGTCCTTTGCGTCCGGATTATGATTGATTGCGAAGTAGGATTTCATCGTCCTAAGCTGATGGTGCTTGAAGGAGGTCCGCATTCGTTTCGTCCTCTGGTTGGACCCGTGAAGTCCGGGAGTACCAGGCGACCGACCAAATGGAATGTCTAGGTATTCTTGATTTAAATCTGGAATGGTAAATTCGGCCATATTTAACTCTTACAGCTTGCCCCGGGTCTATCAGTTAGTCACTGTCTTATATCTATGAACAGACTTTAACTCTAGCTAACACAAGGAAATATTTAGGCATGAAGAGATGAAAAGAACTATACTGTTTGAACTAGATCATAGCAGTAGAACGGTTACATTTTTAGATTATTTTCGAATTTTAAATTGTAGACAGTGTGAACAAATTAATTAATTCAATAATAATAACTAATTAATTAATATCACCTATTCTTGAGATCCACATTCTGGTAGAAACGTTGAAGAATGAAGATATTGAAGAACCTGAATCCAAGAACAATTCAAGCGTTATATGTATTTCAATGCCGAAGCATGAAAAGAAGCTACAATTTTTTATTTATACGTTACAACTGTTGTTACAATTTTCAGATAAAAAAAACAAATGGATTGAAGTATTTAATACAAAAACTAGGTTTCGTTTTATACGATTTTCTACAATGGAGTTTACTAAGGGCAGTGGATCAGGAGAACGGCACAGGAATAGCTCAGAACGTACGTCACAGGTAGAACTCAGGCAATTAAGCTCGGATGGGGAAGATGGAACTACCCATTCAGTCTAAACAGATATTAGGGTGGGTGTGCCCCATTCCAGACCTCTTGCTATTTTCTATTTACTAGATGTTTCAAAAAAAGTGTTACTCCACTACGAGTTCTGCAAGACAATAGTATTTTGATCTTCCAGGTTTATACAGTATGACCAAACCAAATTCTTAGGGCTTAGAGAGTTGACCAACACTTTTCGTGAGATGCGTTGCCATAATGATAAAGTGGCGGTTGTTATTTTTTCCATACAGACCACCTTCAGAATGAAGAACTATTCTGTCAAACTTTCGATTCAAAAATATCGAATTTTGAAGCTCTTATCGTAATAGTAAGTGAACTGAGACAAAACCACAAATTTTAATATTAAAAAGGCCTTTTGTAATCATTTAAAAATATCTAAAAATCTCAAACGTTTGTAGGGGGAACATTTGATACTATCGCAACTAACTGCGTTAGTCTTAATAGTCTTAATTATCCGCCATATATCCGTTTCCGTGCATGGGATTGAACTATTTTCTCTAACAGTGTTTACAAAATGACTGTTTATATCCTGAGCATCACATATATTTACAGGTAAACCACTATTTTCTCCCTTTAATAGTCCCACAGTCCTCACGCCTGCCCATATGATGCTAAAAGAGCAATTGTTTTGCTAAACACTTCCTTTTCTTAATGATGAATGTTACTTCTTGGTCTTTTGGTAATGTGGTCACTACACGAATGCAGTATTAAATCACTTCTTTCCTTGCTAGCACTTGCTTCCAAGCTTTAATCACCATTAAATAAATAAGAAATTCCCTATGTCAAATATCAACTAACTAGGCATGAAAACACCCGTGGTGTGCAATTATTTTTAAAAGAAGAACAATTATTTTTATATCTAGATCAGTATCAGTAGTCGCTGTACTCCCTACTGCACTTCTCTTAATTCCATAATAGTGAGACGGTTAAATCAATACCCTGTTAAATTTCTGCCGATTTGTATTTATGAAATCCCTGAGTAGCGAATCGTCTATAGTTAGTTATACTCAGGGCAAAGACTTTAGGAAAAGTGTAAATGAGAAACTGTTGGCTTTTGGCCTTGTTTCATTTCATTTCTGTCAGTGTCGTGGTTAGTCCTAATTTAGTGGAATTTCGTTTCATGTTTTTCATAATTTTCACAACTCTTTCAATTCTAGCACCTGTTTCGATTTCGTTCATCAAAAAACTGTCAAATTTCACAGCTCAGGCGTTCCGTCGAAATTTAAAGTTTAAAAGCTCGTGCAGAGAAGCTCTAAGCAAACATATTAGAGTTTTATGTTCCATAGTGATTGGTCCACATGGTTTGACATTTCAAAAAGCTCTCTTATCACAAGGACCTAAAGTTTTTTGTTTGTTCTCTTACCGGATGAAGGCAAATTCCTAAAATCTTGCGACATTATACCATTCACGAAATTTATAGAGGTAATACAACAGCGATGCAATATAGGTTCTAATATATAGGCCATAAATACGCGAGATTCGACTAAAACGCTCACCATCAAATATTTATTGCCACAATAAACTGGTTCCCATATGCCCTTACAAATTAAGCCTTATAATACCTCTTGTCCTCTTATGTAATCCTTTGTATATACGGAACCCTTATCCCTTTTTATAGCGTTCCGCTTTTATGAGCTACTTACTATACTCGAGTTTATTGTACACGGGATTATAAATTGATTTGTCTCTTCTATCCGCTCGGTAACGTGCCTTTATTTGGGGGACACTTTTTTTATGGGAGGAGAGGTGTTAAATTTTCGGGATTAAGTGATTGACTTAGTATACGAGTGTACAGGGTAAAAAAATGCAAAATTAAAAACAGAGAACAGACGAATAAACAAAAAAAAAAGAGCAAAGTGTGTCACAGGATACAAATTTTTTATTTTTTTATATTGTTCACATGATGCCCGTATTTAGACAGGTTATCAAAATATCTCTGATGTCAACAGGAAGCATATTACAGGAGTAGTTATTAATTTTTTTAACTGAATTGAATTGAATGAGTGTCCGATCTTGTTTGGCAGTATAAACAAACGTGGTGATGAAATTTCAGTATCTGAATGAAAGAGTGCTGGAAGCAGTATGAAGCAAAGTTGGTGATCGAATATATTCAATTGAAATTTGTTGTTCTCATTTGATTTACTCAACAGTATAAACAAAGCTGATGATCTCATATAACCATCTCAATGGAAGATTCATCCCACTGAGTGTTTTAAAGTAATTTAATTTAATTTAATTGTATGTCATGTTATTTTCAGGAATACAATATATTATCCACAGTATGGACAAATTTGTTGATCTTATGTAACAATCTCAATAAAAGACTGTTATATGATATTTTGATTTTCGAGATTCAAATATTTTAAACAAAGCTGGCAATACAATGTAATTATCTCAATACAAATACGAAATAAATAAGACAACCTGTTCATGAAGAACATAATATTTTGAAGACTTCGTCCACAGTATTTTACATATTATAATTTTAGCTAATGGAGTTGTTTTAGGAAGTGGGAATCACAAACTGGTTCCATAATAAAGCATACCTTAATCATTTTCATGGCAAGTATCTTTGTTGACCTTGACAATTAAATGCTATCCTGTTGGTCATCAATTCCAGTTACTTGGTTAAAAACTCTGTCTATCAATCTTATTGTACTGAATAAAAAATTTCCTGAATTAGAGTAATGTTGATATCTCAGAGCATCTAAACTAAGGAAGGCAATATCCGACATAGGGATGGAAGATCCAAATTTAAAGATTTAGTTTTTTCAACTTCTATTACGGTTGCTCTTTGTTCTAAATATGTGGGACACACCCTGCCAGCGACAGTCAAAACCGAGTCGACCATAATAGCCGCAGTTTCAATAGATACTTATCGGTCGTAATGGGTAAAGTTTTCCCACAGGACGCGTGGTGGGTATTTCGGAGATAACCCCCCTCACGTTTGTAAACACCGGCCTGTTAAACGTAATCAAAACCCACCGCAGATGTTTATCAAACACGGAGTGTGTGTGTATGTTTTCTTGCTGCGGAAAAACACGATTAATCCGCCAACGTATTAAGGTGATCGGAGGCGGGACGGAACAAATTGATTTGCTGTTTGGTTATTACCAACCCCCAAGCAATGTTTTTGCCTCGTTCGTTTTTGTAATTCTTCTCTTTTTTATTCGAATACGCGGGTTCTTGGAGAATTGAGAGCGTCAATGGAGTGACGAAGGTCCAAGTACTTTTTATAAAACTTCTAGATTCCTCCTGCGTCGGTTTTCGTTGACTCGATATAGCTGACGTTGTTATTTGGCCTCATGGTCAGGAATCCCAAGTAGATTTTCTTACAAGTTAGACATAGATGCAGCTCCAGTATCACGATGAAACTTTGTCTTCTTTTAAATATATACCTTAGTAGGCTGCGAAAAAAAATTGAAGTCTTGCGTCAAATAGTTTTTTTATTGACAGCATTTTAAACAAGACCGAAAAAATGTCGCAAATAACGCAAACTGAGTATAGAGCAGTCATAAAGTTTTTGACAAAAGAAGGGTTAGCACCTAAAATTATTAAAGAAAGGCTGGATGGTGTGTACGGCAAAAGTTCTCCTTCGCATTCTGTAGTGAAAGAATGGGCAAAACGTTTTCGAATGGGACAGGAGTCCCTTCAAGAACTGGTTGACCAGTGGAGGTCATAACGGAAAATATTGTTGCGATTGTGGAAGAGGTGGTATTGAGTGATCGACGTTTAAAGGTCAAGGAAATCTCAGAAATTACTAAGCTTTCTGATACAAGTGTTCGTCGAATTATCATTTAGGTATGTAGGTACATGGGTTCCTAAAAACCTTTCGGCTATTCAAAAACAACGCCGTGTCGAGTGTGCGCGGTCTTTTTTGGAAATCTGTGGGTCGGAATCGAAGCCTGTGATAGAAACTATTGTGACCTGGTTCTCTATTATGACCCTCTATCGAAAAAAGAACCAATGGAGTGACGTCGTAAGGGTGAAGCACCTCCAAGAAAATTCAGAGTCTGCCAGTCAACAAAAAAGGTGATACTCACGATCTTTTGGGATTGTGAAGGAATTCTTTTGATAGATTTTAACGAAACTAATACCGCTGCAAATGCTGTTGATCGCTATAGACTAGTTTTGACAACCTGCTTCACAAAATACTCAGGATTCAAGAGACACAACCATTGGTGGAATGAAGACAAAAATATTTAACTTATCTCATCAATTTCGCGTAGAAAAACGAGGCTTAGTTCCGACACCCATGACACTATAAAGAAAGGGTGACAAACTTCTTCACCGAACTGCATTTCGAATTTACTTGCACCTAGAGGACGGAGAATATCAATTTTACACTGTGGCTCACCAAAAAACATTAAGGATTGCT